AAAGCTGAATCTGCAAGGCATCGTTTTCTATTGAGAATAGGGGACTTTCTTTAAAATAAGTGGCATCTCTCAAGTCTGCATACACACCTTCCCTGGGAATATACCTGGGCTTGAACATTTCTGCAGTATCACCTTCTTGTAAAATACTCTTCAGTGTTTCCAAAATGGGAATATATGCAAATGTATCAGTTACAATGACTTGATCATATGTCCCAGTAGTTTTGTTTCTCCTGCTGTCAAATCTTGTGCCAAGCACTTTTTGTACAGGCTCAGAAAGTCCCCATTTTTCTCGTAAATGTTTGTTTAGTTTTGCTTCTGAATTTAAAGGTGTGAATGGATTTTCTAATACTTGGAAGGACTGTTCAATTTTTTTTCTTTGTTCTTCATCCTGTGGAGACAAGCACTGTAAAGCTAAATCCTTAGCCTGGCTGTGGATTTCAAAAATGACTTCTTCCATGGCTGACACAAACCTCGCAACATTAGACTGACTTAATCCAGCTGCTTTTACTTGTGCAATAGCAGTAGTACACATATCTGTAGTGCTGATATTTGACCTGGTCAGCAGAGTACCGGTAGATGTTGTGGCCGACTCTACATTAGTTGTCACCAGCTCTCCTGCATCACCGAGGTCTGCTCTGCTTGAACTGACGTTAACTTCTTGATTAGTATTGTCAGTGTGCTTGGCATTTAAATGTTTTCTAAACCCAGAAAATATTCCAAGCACACGGCCACATCGAGTCTGAGAACATTTAAGACGAAGATTTTTTCCATCCAAGTAACCATGAACTACTCGTAAATGCCTAACAGGAGTATTCACAGAAGGTAATTCAGACTGACAGACAAAATACTTCATGACTGAACAGATCCATTCGAGTACTAATGAAGCAACCGAGCCCGAACTTCAGCCACACGAGGACTCTCCTTGACTTTGCCAACATCTATGTTGCACACAGTGGTCTGGATGAACGTGAACATGTTGTACAGCATCGGGTGGTATGTTGTTGCAAAAACATAATGCGCTTTAAACAGTTTTCAAAGGCACCAATTGAGGAGGCCGACCTGTAAGCGATGGCACTTTTGTCAAGTATGATGAAAAACTGGTGGGCTGCTTTTCTACTTCGTCCTATAGCCAGGAGGTAGGGCTGTGTGCTTGTTGTGATAGAATCCAGATGTTCTTGGATACTGGTTCCTGACTGACAAAAGAAAAACACAAAACAAAGTATTACAATTACATGGTGGCAATATTACACAAATAAATAATAAATTAACAAGTTTTTTTGTTTATGTATAGCGTTTAACTGTATGTGATCATGAGTAAAACCAAGGCTCCCTCAGTGAAACGTCGTTGAATAAAATAGATAAATAAAAAACAAAAAATACAAACCTTCTTGAAGACTAACAGATGCTTCTCTGCTTGGGAAGCAGACACCTTTCCTGGTCTCTTGCGGCCTTGGGCAGAGGGGGGAATCAGGTGTAACAGCAGCAAAATTGATGCGAGGTCACTGTCCCAACCTGTAATCACACAAATTTGATGTTAAGTAGAAAATCAGCAAATTTTAGTTATTCTGCTATATTTTCCCTTTCAACAAAATACAAGGCAGCAGGTGTATATGATCATCAGTTCTGTTTCTACTGAGCTATTTTATATTTAAAACTTTCACTACTCCTTACACATAAAACATTTTTGAAGCATTTCACATTTGAATAAATCTATTGCACCTCAGGGCAACAGTAGCTGTGCTGCTCATACACAGCACTACTATAAAAATGTGCTAACCAAAAGGCACTGCAAATATGCTTTTCTTATTTTGTTATTGTCCCACAGTGTAAGAAAATGTGTTAGAAGCTTAACTTGTGTTGTAAATGAATTATTCAATATTTATATTAAGTATAGGACATACTAGGGCTGGGCGATATAGAAAAAAAGCTTATCGATAAAAAAAAATGCATATTGATCGATATC